CATTACTCGTTAAATTAAAAATAAAAAAACTTTAACTCATTCACTTCTAATAAGAGTCACAAAGATTTGTTCTACAAACAGCAGGATCTAAATAATCTAAATGGCAATAAGTGCATATATGACTATTTTCTCTTCTAAAGTTATCCAGAATGCTTCAACCTTTTTCTACTTTGTTAGGGTCTATCACTTTTCTCATGGCTCCAACTCTACGTTTTCTTTTTAGTTTTAGTTTAATTAGTAGAGTTTTTATTTGGTTTTTGTTAGATATATAGCTTTAAAGTGTTTCTTTTTGTCCTCATTAGTGTAAGCATTTGGCTTCTTTTATAAATGTTTAATTTAGCTCATGGGGCTAAATTAAACTCTAGGAATGATATATCTTGTATTACTGATAAGAAAATTGACTATAAGCATGTTACATGCAAACCCTGAATGAGAATTGAGATTCGCATAATTTTATAATTTTTAAACTTTTTAATTAATAATAAAGATTATATTTTAAAATTCATGTTAGACACTTAAACAGTGTTAATAATAGTTTTCTCATAAATAATACCATCATTTTCAACCAGTCATCTAAATAAAAAAGTAGAAGTAAATATATTTTTCAAGCACCTATATATCATTCCTAGTATCATATGATACCAAGTTCTTGAAATTGACTTCCACGGTTTGAAAAACATCTATGATATTTAAGAAAATCAAATCATAGCAGACAAAAAGTCAATTTGGATCTCTAATTTCTGCAAACCAAAACCTCATCAAAGAGGAAACCATAATAAAATGAAGGCCTTTTAAAAGAATATTTTTTATAATTAAAAAATATATACTGTAAGGATTTAAAGTACTACCTTGAATTCGACTGGCCTTGAAAAAGAAATCAAAACTTCCTATCATCAAATCTCTCCAAGCAAACCCATAACGTAAACACACAGGCATCCTACTATCAATTTCTATTAACAGTAAGCAGAGAAAAAAAAATTGGCTAAAAATTAATTTTTATGTTTGTATAATATATCTTAATTAACAGTCAAAATTAAATCTTTTCGATATACAAAGATTATTTAATACAACATTTGATGGCTTAGTCAACAATTTTTTCCATGTAGTAGATAACAGTTTTAACTTCCTGATTATTCAAAAAGTATAATATTGAGTCATTTTATAAGTCATTATTATTATTCAATTTTATTTTTACTTAAATAAAAATAATAATAAACAATATTAAAAAAAATTATATAAAACATGTCTTTTACTATATGCAACTCTTGTTCTTCCATCTCTCTCTTCTTTCACATTCAACTCTTCCTTTCCAACTTTTTTTTTTTCATACACAACTCATCTCTTTCTCTCATACTTTCTTCTTTTCCTCTCTATTGGCACCTTTACTCCTTTTATCCTCTTTTTTTTTATATTCAACTCTTTTTTTCTCTCGTACTCTTTTCCTTCTAACTCTATATTGGCTTCCTTCATCCCTTTAGTCTTTTTTCTCTCTACATGCATCCCTACCTAGTCTCCTTTTACTCTCTTCATCCTCTCACACTCATTTAGCCTTTCATCTACTTCCTCTCACCAAAAATACAAAATTTATTTAAGTAAAATTTATATAAATTATTTTTTATTTTATTTTTATTTTTATTCAAGCAAACTTATTTTTGTTTAAATAAAAATAGAATTGAAGGTTGAATTCCGTTGGAAAGAATTTAGATCTTAAAAAACATTATTATTTATTTTATTTAAGCAACAATTTTATAATTAGTATTGCAGTAAAAAAAAAACCATTGCTAAAATTAATGGACATCTTATAAACGACTTACCGATACCATTAAAACAATTGTTTAAACTTCATACAACAATTTTTATTTTATTTTTTACTTTTACGAACAATATTTTAAACTGATACTTAAACAATAAAATATTGTAGTAATTTTTTTTTATAAGAATTAAACTATAATCAATATAATATACTTAAAAAATCATTTATTTGCTTATCGTATGTATTGCACATTACTAGTATTAAAAAATGATTTGAAGTTTTCTTTATTACTGTTTTAATTTGCACACAACCCGTCTACCGGGTGTGTTCGATGTATGTAAACGTTGGGCGGTTTAATAATTTCCAAACCTTCAAGTTAGGGTTAGCAACCTCTAACATTTTATTTTGAAAAAAAATGGAAATTATTCTTTTCAAAAAGATTAAAAGTGTTTAATACTACCACTTAGCATACGGATCAAATGGAAGATAAGTGCTCTAGCTTAATTTGTGAAGGAATATATTTAATATTGTTAAATTTAATAAAAAAATAATATTTAATTTTAATGAAGAGTGATATAATTAATTTTTTCTTACTTAAAATCAAATTTTTTATTAAGTGACCAAGGATAAGTTGGGATACAAAGCACTTATTTAATAAATTCTTAAATACATTAGAACGTATGTCATAAATTTAACTGTAAAACACTTTTAGAATAAGTTTAAAAAATTATTTTGATAATTTGTATTAAAAAATTATTAAAATATTAATAATAGTTTGTAAAACTTACAAAAGATATTTTTATTAACTCTTTTAAATTCCCTAAAAGTATAAATGACTAAAATGATAATAAATAATTTTTTAAATTTAATTATTTGTCTAAAATAAAATGTAAAAGATTGTGAACTTCTAGTCTGGAGATTAATAATTTTCACACAAATAGAGAATGTAAATAGTGAGAACTAGATTGATGAAAGTAAATTTTAGTCATAAAATAATTATGCATAATTTTTTTTTTTTTTCATTTTACTTATTTCTATTCCTATCTGTTTCATTTTTACTGTACGGTAATGATTAGCAAGTAGCTCTTGCAGTCATGACCTTCACTTAAGAAGCTATCTTATTTGCAAAATAATTATAACAATAAGGTCCAAAGGACCTAGTTAAAGAACAAGATGAGTGTTTTTTCTTTACTATCTTTATGGACATAGGTCTATCCTTTTAAATGATATTACAAATGCATGAAGCTTGATCGTGCCTATATTCATATAAAACATTTAGAATCAATAATAAGTTTGCAATATAGCTATTTAATTATAACTTCTAATAAAAAGAAGCATGCATGTGGCTTGGACTATTTTAGTGTCCATACATTTTCACTAAGGAAGACTTGCTATTCCTAGATCAGCAGCGGATCAAAAGTCAAAATCTCGAGTAATCTTAATGAAGAATCTGAAAACAACGGCACGTACTTGGAGCTTTCCTTCTAAAGACTAAGTAGGCCGTTGTTCCCTTCGAAATGGGTAAGCTTCTCAAATACACGAAAGGAACAAGTCTAGTATGATGAAAACAGATAGCTATAGTGCCTTGTATATCAGGTAGACTTAATTGGACAAATTGCTCGACATAGAGTTCCATGTTTTGAAAGTTTTATAACAGAAATAATAATAATAATAATAATAATAATAATGAAATGTGTGTTTAGAAACACATTAAAAAACTTATAAACGTAAATTTAATACCAAAGCTATAATTAGTAGTGTTGAAGTAAGTATGTAATTCATACTTAATTAAATGTTGATCCAAAAACATGTTAGAAAATAGACGCAAGAACTGGCTTCAAAACAAAACCGGACATGACCAGGACAGGACTTATAATGGCACAAACCACAACCTGGTGGCAGCACACCAAAGGAAACAAGGCATGGTGTGTTTGGTTTAAAAATAAGGGATGTAGAAGTGAGTCATACTAACTTTGGTTTGTAACAAATAAGGTTAATGCTTTGTCTGTTAATAGTCGAAATGAAGAGAATGGAAATGGGAGATAATGTAAATGGTCAGTTTCATCGCATTTCAATGGTTTGTTTTTGCTGTAATTAGTGGTTGAAATTCTACGATATTTTGAGACTCATTGGGCTACATTTCCTCTCATTTGAGCGACGAGATGGAGCTGACCAATAGGCCCTCATCTGGACATGGGTTGAGGGGTATCTGAAATATTTTATTTTTGCGATAGGGGGGACGTTGCTTTGAAACATGGTACGAGGAACCCTGACCAAAAAAATAAATATACAATCATAAAAAGTTCATAAGGGTGGGCATTTTTATTAAGCAACCAGATTAGCACAAAGATGCAAAATTCAGTAGAAGCCTTAAAGCGAAAACGCGTCAAATGCACCTATAGATAATGGAAGCTCCTGAATACGGTATTGTCACTTTCGTTTATGCTCTACTTTGAGACATGGAACTTTCTTTCTGATACCTGCATGCTGTTTAGCTCGGATGCTTTCCTTCGGTGTTAGTAACATTACAATCAATCCCAAAATTACAATTGCATAAATTTACAACTTCATTTTTTGTTGTTTAAATAGTTTATATCAATTTGCACGTCACATACTGAAAGTATACTAAAAAGGGTCTCAAGTTCCTCACTTCGATTCGCTCTCTTCCGCAAAACTATCATGTGAAAAGAAAATGTAAATACAGTGAAGCATTTTATTTTTATTTTGGGTAACTTGCTTATAAATTCAGTCCTTTTAATTTAGTTTCTAATTTCTTAAAATTCAATTTAGTCATTTTATTTTTTAAGATAATTTAAATGTCATTACTTTTCTTTCAATAAAGCCTACAAATTATCATTGTATGTAAATATTTGGAGCTTATGAAATTGAAATACAAAACAATTTTGAAAGTTTAGATGTCAAATTTTGTAATTTTTTTGAGAAATTTGAAAGGTTTTGATGAAAAAATATGATTTGAGGAAAAATTTTGAAACCTTTTTATTTTGTCAAATTTCAAATTTTAGCTAGTGAATTTTGAGTAAATTGCGATTCAAACAATTTATTTCATGAAATTTTTTTAATAAAACGTAAAAATTTGAGATTTATTTAAAAATAATGGTCAAACCAGTCGCTCAAAGTCCAATCTCAGAATGAAAAGTGCCATAAACCGTTCTCTCTCTCTCTCTCTCTTTTGTTATGTTTATTTTAAAATCTACATCAACTATAAAATTTTGCTAATAACTGTATGAGATTTAACAATATTATAGGTATAAAATCATTAATTGTATCAATTAAGATTAAAAAATAAGTACATAAACCTCGGTCGAAAGAAATTTCATATTTTAGTCACATTACTTATAGTAAAAATTATGATGGCCAAAAAGAAGACTTGTAGTTAAAAAATAATAATAAAAAAGAATTACATTATTACCTGCTCATATTTTAAAATGATTGACTATCATGAATTTCAAGGGGGAGCTTAAACTGCGCTCTAGCAGTCATAAGACACCCATCAGTTAAAAAAATGGAGGAAATTTTTTTGAAAAACTACAATGTATATTGACCTTCTTCTGAAAGCTGATCGGAAGGAATTTGGCCAAAAGTGTCAGGACAGGAGTTCCAGTTTCCTTGTTTTCGGGCCTCCCAATACCCTCCTAAATAGCGGTATGTACCGCTTGCTTTATCCCTAGCAAACCACCGTGGTTCCCATCCGCTCTCTTGCATTTTTCGAGCCTGAATCCCATTTAAACAAACATATATCAATAACAATCATAACTAACAAAATTAACTAAGAAAAAAAGTTCATAATACCAGGATTTGACTCCTCTAAAGTGCAAGAAAGGTAAATATTAGTGGGGTTGAGATTTTAACAACATAATTTTTATATAAATGTATGTATTTTATTACAATTTCAACTGTTAAAATTTTCAATTGTTGGTTATCACTTTAATTCCTTAGAGAATCTAAATATATAACTGGAAAATCCCTGTTTTAATCTCTCCACTTTCCTCCCTGACAGACAGCGTTTAAAGAATTTCAGACCTTATCGAACAATTACACAATTACACCTGGTGATCGTGATCCTTAAAAATGTAGGTGTTATACTACTGATCTTGATCACTTGGTCAAAACAAAAACATGAAAATTGTTTGGTCCGGAAGAAGTAGCATGGATGGAAAGTTTGCCCAACCAATGAGCGGGCAGGTAGATCACACATTAACAAATCGGTTAAAAGTGTTCATTCTATTAAAACTAAAACAGTTAGTGCTTGATTATGGGGATCAGCTCTATCAGTGTTAAGTAATGTTTCCCGTCTTCCACAAGTACTTGACAATTGAAGTAAGTCAGATTTAAGAACAGGATTTGAAGCACCAAATAAAATGCTCCCATTGCTCAGGTAGCGTTTGACATTATAGAAAGAATGGAATGGGATGAAATGCTACAGAAAAGTTTTGTTCTATTTTCCTTGATTACACCCTTGTTAGTGGAACCAAGAGGTACTATTTTTTAATCTAATATTCTATTTTGTTCTAGTTTTAAACCAAACATATAATAAAACTACATATCCTGTTGTGCCCCATTCCAACATGTCTAGCTAATGCATTCCTGAATACTAACCTACTACAAGTGAAATCAACAAAGGAAACACACAAAATAGTAAAAGGAAAAATCTACCTGGCGTTGCCGTTGTTCTAGCCGTAACTTTTCTGAATTTGCCATCTCATACTCCCCATTTTCCAAATGCCTTTGGTCTGGTCTTAACCTGGAATCAGTAGGTGGCAGCTTTTCCTATGTATACACAAATAAAAGTGATAATCTGAGTCAATAAATGTCTACCAGGAGCATGAGCAGGTGCACAATATGCAAAATATGATCATATGAATATTGTTAAATTTATCTTATCTTTATAGCTCTTCCATGTTATAGAAATGGTCGCAAAATTTCATTGTTGATGCAAAGAGTAAATAACATACACCAACTCAAGCATGCATGTGGTAAAAAAGACAGTGGAAAATACAGCACATTTTGTCCACTAAAGAAATAATAGAGGGATAGACTGGCTACACAGTTGAAAAACAGACCTTTAATCCAGGGGTAAGTTCATTTAATGTGATGGCGAACCGAGTGAAGTTATATCTAGTGGGAAACTTGGGAGGCTTGCTCCGCTTCCATATTAGATGGGCTTCAGACAATGATTCATAACCTTTCCCCTTCCCACCATAGTCTCCATTGATATAATACATGCTGTCATCCCATTTTCCGAGTAATGTAGACAATGTTTTACCATTTCTATCCTGAACAATACCATGAACCTGAAAAAGAGGGCAGACTACTGTAAAAGACAATCCTCGGCAACATAAGTTCACATCATAGCAAAGACAACCCTCTTAAAAAGTCAAATCATGAAACATATATGTAGCACCTGGTGAGGATTTCGATCAATTATAGATTGTTCCTTGAATTTCAGTTTGCATGAGTAGTCTCGATTCCCCTGTATACGCATTGTACCATAATGATCACAATACAGCTTTCCCAGTATAAGATTGTATATTGATGTAGTGACCTGACAGAACAGTTCCATATCAGTTTTGAACCAAAGCTGTACACTACACAGCATTTTCTTTGTGGCCATTGGACACATTAGTGGAAGCAGTTAAATATAAATTACCTTACTCCATTGGAATACTTCACCATCATCAAATTCCAAAGTTAAAATACCAACAGGATCAAGCTGAATTGATCGACCCCAAAATTTACTCTTTAAGTTGCTATCACCCCAAAATTTCCAACCTGTACCCTCACAGTGACATGCGACTATCATAGGATGATGACTAACCTGAGAGGAAGCAGAAATATTAATATTTCGAAACAGAAACAGATATTTTCTAAAAGGCATAACTATATCACGGTTGAAATCCAAATTCTATTGCATTTCATGGGTTTCTATGAAACTTATTCATCCAATCTGATGAACTTTTATCACCTTTTAATTTTGGGCAAATTACATTCACACCCCATGATATTAACAAAATTTAACCTGATACCCCTCCCTTTTTTCCACTACTTTGACTTTCCCTAATTCAAATAACTGCATAAGAAATCAAGGATGGTTTGTGTAATCAAGAAAGATATGCAGCGTTATATTGTTACATACAATAAGGGAGGTTTGTGTAAGGTCAACAAAAGGAAAGGTGTTGGATGAAGTTTTGTTAAACTTCAGGGGTGAGTGAATTTCACCCTTTAATTTTTGCAGGTGGCCTTTCAATGGGAGGTTTAAGTATCACAATAAGCATAAGTTATGGCTTGTGGCATTCCTTAATCTTGGCATTGCATTGCCTCCCTAACATTTTCATACCAAAAGAGCAACATGAAGGCTGAAGCTTTCACTTGCTCTTTGCTACTTTTCTAAGGTATACATCATTTCATGATAAATACATATATGATCAAAATAATCATGAAAAGGACAATATTTCTGATAATATCAATGTCTAGGATTAGATTATACCTTCTCTGAGAAAAATCGGAAGCCTTTATCTGGAAAGTCAGCTTCATATGTTTCCCCTAGTAATGGATTAAATGGTTTGCAAATTCTTCCTTCAGTTGAAGCATAGGCTGATACAGCAAAAGCAGCAACATTGAGAATCCTCATGAGGCTATTACCCTGCATAACATCACCAGTGAGTTAAAATAGTAGTTACATTTTACTTAGTAATGCATTGAAGAACTAACAGCATATAAAAGCACAGCAATATGAAACTCAGCCACCATATTATCCAGACATACCCTTCTTCCCCATTCATATGCTCGGTCTAGAAGATACGAATACTCCATTTCTTCACAACATTTTTGTAGAGAGGAGAGAGGCTCATTAAAATAAACAGGAAGGCAAACTTTAGTTAGATCCCTGCCAATATTATCCTTAATCATTGACCAAAGACTGACACCTTTCTCTTTTTCAACAGGGTCAGGCAATTTCTTACGCCGCTTAACAATAGGATAGTTCGTCCCAACAGATCTAATTGAAGGATCTACATCCTCCTCTGAATCAACTGCATAGAGTCCGTCATCTGAGGAGAAAGACGAAACCCTAAAATCAGATCCATTACTTTTAAATGAACTGGACGATGAAAGAAAATCACGAGTGTCAAAAAAGGCAGCCTCGTCATCATCTGTCTCTTCCTCTGCTGCATCATTTCTCTCATTATCATCCTCAGACTCACTTGCACTAGCTTTTGGATCAAAAAGTCAAAATGAAAAAGAAAAATGGAAAGAATTCATAAAAAGTCATTATATCAAATATAACAGTTGGCGTGTAAGTAATTCTAGTTTCAAGAAAATGCACAACAAACCAAATCACGCCATCAAAAAGATCTTATGCATATGAACAGCTCACTATTCAAACACATACCACTAGATTTTTCTTGCCTTAATCTAGAGGAAGCCTCCTGATCATTCAACTGTCTTTGACTCTCATCAACAACAGTGTTCTCCAGATCAACCTTTTCTGTCTACAACAATGAAAGTGTAAATAGAAGTTTATTACTATACAAGAAGGATAAAAATGTCAGCCTTAATCAATGTGTCAACAAATAAAAATAAAGAAAAAAAAACAGAAAAACAGATCAAACAAAAAACTCTCCACAGCCAAAGAAGACTGTTTTGTTTAACAAGGGAGGGAACCATGAAAACATGGGTAATTCAAAGGATGGACTCTAAACATTAACGATCACAACCTTAACCAAGAAATATTGAAACATTTTCTATTTCAAAATTAACCAAGTCCGCTGCTTTTTTCCTAATTAAAATATAAACAGCAGGGGAAGGGGAGGGGAGCGTCAACAATATCTCAGGAAAGCACATTTGCAAAATAAATTAATGCAAAAAAAAATGTTAATATTCTATTAATATCTATCTAATTATATTCAAATCTCTGAGTTATAAATTAATGTTCAAAAGGTATATGGATAAACAAGAACACCCAATATAGGGTGTAGTATCTTATGATTAGTCAATGTGCTGCGCCTTCACATGCAGGGCCTTTAACTGGTAGAGAACTTTTACAGCAAGATAAATAAATAAATGCCAGACATATATCTTGGTGTCTCATTTCAACCTATACAATTTTTTTATAAAGAACATTCAGTCAAACATATATCATAAGTTCAAGGAATAATTTCTAACAGAATTCAGCTAATAATACATTAAAAAATCATCACAAGAAGGAAGAGAGAATCAAAAGAGCTTTGAGACCCACTAACCATAACTTCAATCCTTTTCAATTTATATATTAGACACGCATCAAATTAGTTAAAAAAAAAATATTCTTAATACAAGATATTCTTAATTCATAACAGGAAAGGGATAGGAAAATGACAGAGAAACACTGAATAATATTAATTACAGTTGCACTTCTGCCAAGTGAACTGAGAAAGAAGCCATTAGATTTTGGCTTTAGGTCGTGAACATTCAGAAGTACAAGCCAAGAAATAGGGAAAACTAGAGAAATTACATATCCACAGAATGATAATACACAATTCTCTATTTTCTTTTAACTGAAAAGGAGAAAGACATGGCCTCCTCCCTTCTTTGCCAAGAATTTTAGAGTATTAAGAACGATCAGCTTTCTGTGCAGTAGTAGAAATCCACCAAGAATAGCCAGTTTGATTGGCATGTAGTTTTCTACTTTTCATTAAATGTACCTCTAATTGCCGTAAAGTGTCGACTAGGGTCAACTGCTTCTGCTTAAGCAACAGAATCTGGTTTTGCATCGCCGCATACTCATTTCTCATAATTTGTTCACTGTCCTGAATGGCTGCCTCACTTACACCTTCCTCCATGAGCCGAAGCCTCAGTTTCTCAGTTGAAATGGCCACATTGTCCACCGGTGCCATCAGCTCACTGTTCGACATCCGGGGAAACATATCTTTCACCGCCTGCAAGGCCTCCATCCATGCCACTCGATCCTCACGAGTCTCAGCCCTCAAGTGAAGTCTCTTTGTCCCAGTGAAAATGGAAAATCGCTTGTCATCCGATCTACTCTCACGAATAGTCGAAACCTACATTAAAAGCTTTCTTCCAGTGAAACAACATACACAAGTACAAAGATGAATGTAACAAACAGGACTCATCACTCACAACCCCAAAATAAATAAATTAGAATTATCATGCCTCTAAATTGATTAACATCTTATCCGATAAGCTAAATACTAATTGCATCCAAAACTACTAAAAAAGTGAACAATAGATTAATCAGATATCCAGATTCATAACACAGGCGAAGATTTATTAATTAAAACCTCTGAATTACTAATTCAGTAACCGAAATTCTTCTAGTGTCGTAATTGAAACCGAAATGAAATTAAAACGGAAAATCAACATTAAAAAGAAAAGTAGAACAAAATCAACAAATATAGGAATTGATAAATGAACCTTGAGGTGGATTTCGCCGACGGGCTTACGACGATGGTTGAAGTTATTGTGGTGGTGATGGTGATTCGAATTGCGATTGCGACAGATGATGCGCATGGATTCCTCACCAATGACCTTGGATCCCTTCTCGGTTTCCGAATTGACAACGATCTTATCAGGACCATGAATCTTGTAGTAAGAGAGGACACCGTCTTGGAGCACGAACCACCGTGGCCTCCATCCTTTGCCGTAGTTCACCCACTTGTTCAGTATCCCGGAGATTCCGTTCCCGACGAGGTCGTTGATCTTCACGTCCACCGCAGCCGCTGCCGGAGGATGAACGGCGCGGTTGCTGTCACCGCCGTTGGCGATGCAGAGGCTGATTTGGCCGTGCCGCGGTTCCGAATCGGATCTCACGGCGGCGGGAAGAGGAGGCATGGTGAGGACGGCGAGCGGAGCGGTTGGCGAGGGTTTGACCGGAGAAGAGTGATCGGAGACGGCGGAGACGCAGCAGAAAGGATGCATTAACACGAAAGAGGAATTGAAGAGTCGTTAAATTCTACGGCGGCGACGCGTGGGCGAGAGGTGGCGGCGCAACCGGAAATGACGGTGCTGAAAAAAGAGTGGTTCATCTTATGTAAAGTTATATTTTGTTGAGTTAGTTGTTGGAATGTGTGAAGAATGGGAATGGAAGGCTCAAGAGGAAGAGAGGCAGTGCAAGTTCGCGTGAAGGCTCCGGAGATTAAAAAACGGTTACGTCCTAAGTGGTCTAACTAAGCTCCCCAAAAAAATGAATAAATATATATTTCCATATATTTATTATTTTATTAATTTAATTATATTTGGAATATGGTGGTGGGTGAGAAGAAAGATGCCACGGAAAGCAGAAGAAAAGTGGTGTGTTTGGATTGGAATTGGTTACACTCTTCTTCTTGGAAAAGTAATTGGATACAGAAATAGTATGTCAATTAATTCATTCATTAATTTTCGTTCATCAAATCCAGTTTATGATATTTTTATTATAATTTGTTTCTTTTCTGTAAGCGTTTTGAAAATTCGACTGGAATATTCGGCTGAAGGGGTCGTTGTCAATTTGTTATTTTTTTTAGTTTTGTCAAAAATGTATAAATTAAGCTGGGTAAATTAATTAAACTATGACTTAATGTCTTGATAATTTAATATATAACTAAACTTTTATTAAATTGGTATTAAATATGTCTGCTATGGAATTTTGTTACAAAGAGAATGTTTAAATAAGTTCGTCATTAAGGTCAGATTGTATCTAAAAGTTAAAAACACGCTTACATGTTTATTTATGAATAGCCTGTTAGTATTCGTGAGCGTTTAACCAGTACATTCGTGAATATTGAATTTAATCAATATCAATTAGATATTTAGCGTGTAATTTTAAATAAAAAATATCAATTTTTAAAAATAGTTGATAATTAATAACAATGAAATTTTACCAAGAAAATAGTTATTATACTTTTATATTTTATTAAAAATTAATTTTTTATAATAAAATTTACTATTTTTATATATTTAAACTCAATCGTATGGTTAGAATTAAAAAAAAAAACTCTTCAAAATAAAAATACAAGACTATATTTATGTCAGTTGTTTTAATTTCATCTTTTAAAATTATTTAAACATATAAAATATTTATTTAAAAATTAATATTTATTATATGTTATATTCTATTAATATTTTTTAATAAAAATTAGTATTTTAAATTATTTAAAATCAGTTTTAAGGATCAAATTTAAAATAAACAAAAAAAATTATTTCATTTTTTATTTTTTAATATATTTGAATATAATTTATTAATTCTTTAACATACATTTTAATGTGTTATAGGACCCTTTTATTTGTATGTAAAATAAGGCAAATATTAAGTAAGTATATTAAGGGTAATTAATGATTATTTTTTTTTTTTTAAAAGTCATTGTATATAGTATAGAGGGGCAAACTTAGACTTAAATAAGAATAGACCCAATCTAAGCATTATTTCGTATGCATTTGAACTCTTGAAAGAAAAAATTAAATTTATGTTTTATACTCGAAAGATAGATGGATCTCAAGTAGTGTCTAAAGTTAAAGAACATTGTTAGAATTCATTGTGTTCGACAATATTATGATCTTATTTTGGAAGAATCCTAAGTTAGATGGAGAGAATTTTCAATAATTATCATAGTTAATGTAAATCAACAATTTTTTAGTCCTTTCATCGGAGAGGAAGTAAAAGGCATTGTTTAGAGTTATGAGGGTAATGAAGGTTAGGTCAAGACAAGTTTAATTTAACTTTTATCAAGCATATTTGGGATTATTTAAGCATAAGGTATGTAACATGCATGCTAAATTCTATGTTCATGCTGAGTTTCTAAAAGTTTTTTTTTTTTTTTAGATTTAGTTCTAAAATATAATCCACAAATAATGTTGGATTTTAGACTTATCTCTCTTATTAGGTGTTTTTATAAAATTATCCAAAAGGTGCTACTAAACATATTAAAGACAGTTTTGAGTCTTATGATTCCTTTTAATCAATCAGCTTTCCTGTCAAATGGGCCAATCTTTAAAGATGAAGTTGTAGCTATTAATGAAATAATTGATCTAACAACAACAACAAAATCAAAGAAAGATTGTTTCAATTTTGAAGGTGATTTTTGAAAAGTTCTATGAACACCATAAATTAATTTGTTTTAGATTATATGATGGGTAGGATGGATTTTAATGAGAAGTAGAGGTATTCGGTTAGAGTTTGTATTTATTTATTTTTTCTACTATAGGTTTTAGATGAGATGACCCACTACCTCCTTTTATTTTTCTTAACATTGTTGAAGGATTGTTGGAAAATTTTCTTATTCTTAGAATTTTTTTAAGTTTTAATTAATGTCAAGTCCAATCAAATAATTATTATCTCTCACAGCATGCAGATGATACTTGGTATCCCATTATATATTCATAATTTAAGGCTAAGGTATCTTTTTGAAAGGCAGAAATAGTTATCATTAATTTATAGGCAGGATCACTTTCTTAAATTTCATCCTCCCTACTCTTTCTATTTACTTTTTATTTTATTTAAAAGCTTTATGAAAAATATTAAAGTTGCATATTCAAATTGAAGATATTTTATATTGGGACATTTAATTTGAAGAGAAAAGGGAAATAGCCTAAATTACTCACAAGGTGATGTGCAAGCAAAAAAAAAGAAAACGAAAAAGGATTAGGAGTAGAAAATTTAGGGTGGTTCAATCTTGATTTGCTCAAGGAACTGATAATATTAGTTATTTGATGATTAAAAAAAATTCACAACTATGGAAGGATATTTAAATTCTGGAAATAAGTAATCAAGTTTCAGAATATAGTTCAAAATGGGAGTATAAGGTAAGGATTAGGGATGTAGTTCTATGAAATTTCGACATGAGAATTGATTCAAGGAAAGTGGTCTTAAAAGCTTGTTTTAAAGACTATTTTATGAAGACAAAAATTGTTTTGCAACTCTTGAACTTGGTTAATATTCAAGAAATTGAAAGGATGAATGCAAATGGATTATGGATTTATGGTTGTTTTGGATAGCATCCTTGTTATTCTGCATATTCCATTTTCCAATAATTTATTTTCTCTAGAGATATCCTTATACTCTATCGCTAATGTTTTTAGCTTATGATAAAATTAGATATCGAATACATCTTCAAATCATGCATTTTAAAGTAGAAACAAAAAGGCATATAATGCCTCATTGTGTGAACACGTGCTGAGATTCAATTTTCCTTTCTAATTATAAAAACTGTTATTTTAATTTTATTAGTTTTTATTTTAAATATTTATAAGGAAACAGTTAAAATAACTGATTTTCTATTTTCTATTGTTTATTATAAAATTTTAAAAAATAAAATCAAAATAATATATCAATTTTATTAAATTATTTATTTAATTTTAATTTAATTAATATTAAATAATATATAAAATGAAATCAATTTAATTTACTAAGAAATATATAACTTTTAACATTATATATAATTAAATAATAAAATTTAAAGTATATTTTATTATATATTTTTTATCAAGTAAATATTAACATAAAATGATATTGCATAAAATATTATCAGTTAAATTAAGATATATTATTATTAATACATGATTATTCGAATATAAATCTATAAAAGTGTAGGATAATGTGTAGCCAAACAAAGAAGTTAACAGATGAGTTTGACCATAACTCCAGTCAAACAAAAACACTGTATGAGAACACGTGGTGGTCCTGTAGATGTTAGAGGAACATCTTTTACAGCACCCAACAGCATGTACGTAACCTTTCTCGCAGAATGCAGATGTGTACGTTGTTGTCTGAACTCGGATTCAATTGTACCCACTGTCACCCACTTGAGGTATGAAACCCACCCTTACTTAATTTTTTTTATTACAAAATTGAAAAGGAAATAAAATCATAACTCTTTCTCTTTTATTCACCTTATCTTTTCAAGCATGTTTGGTTTTACTCACCCAAAAAATAAGTTATTTGCACTTTACTTTCTCACAATAATTTCTAAAAAAATTGTTAACCAATACATTCACTAACAAATTAAAAATATTTTTTATTAAAAACATAAAAATACACTCATTTTATTATTTTTAATATATTTAACATAGTTTTTAATAAAAAATAAATTTTCTAATTATTGTTTTTAAAACGTAGATGTTAATTTTTATAATTAAATAATTAAAATAATATGTAATATGTAATATGTAACAATTTTATACAAAACACTAGTTGTTTTTAAAACACCGATTGTAACAATTGTAATTCTTTAATCATTGTTTTTAAAATACTAGTTGGATTAATTAATTAATTAATTTTATAAAATTTTATTAAAAAATAATACTAATAAATACTTACTTGCATTACTTTATTTTAATATGTAATATATTTTTAAAATATAAATAAATATTAAAAATTAGATAATATATTTATAAACATTTAAACGATATAAAATTTGTTTTAAAAATGTGACACTTAGTGTTTTCTAATTTTAGTATGATTTTTCAAGTAACATTTAATTATTATAAAAGGTAAATTTATAATAATGAAATCATACGAGTGATATGATAATAGATTATTAAATACAATAAAAGAAATTGAAGCAGTGGGGATAAAAAATATTGTAATTTCCATTAGCAATTAGTTATATTTTTTCTTTTCTATTAGTATTTGTCTTGTTCCGATATTCCTCAGAGGAAGCCCCGCAAGATCCAGAAACAGTAGTTTCATGTGAGGGAATGGTGCAAATGGGCAAAAGAGTGTCCTCGTTGTTCCAAATATAACTGGATATTTGAACCCTTTTATGACATGAAAGTACTCACCACCACCTTATCATTAGTAATGTACTGATGTTAATACAGCTGTAACAATATTTACTCATTATTAGTAATGTACAAATGTCAATAATCTTATCACTTCAATCACAATCCCATCCCAGATCCTAACTAAATTTAATGGAGCCAGGTTAATTGTTGTACTTATAGAACTTTACTCTAACATCTTTTTTTTTTTTTTAAACAAAATTTTCTTTAAGAGTTAATTTTTTTAGAAAAATAAAAGAAAGAGAAAGATTCAGTGGATGATTATCTTAATTTAAAAATTCTTTAACGACCAAGAGAGATTTCTTGAACCATATTAAGTCAATGTATTTAAAATTTTCCACTTATAAAGATTTTTATTTATTTATTTTCTCTTTCTAAACTTTCACATAAAATAAAAAAATTTAACAAAA